ATAATAATTGAATGTGTTGGTGTCATATTTTTTTATGTGCATAAGAATGTGGGTTTATTTCTGATCATTTTAAGACCTGTCTTTTTGTTTTTTTGTGTGGTCTAATTGTTAATTTCTAACAAGTTCACACTGTAATTTCTCCTACGATGACAAAAGTGTTGGATACTCCCTCCGTCTCATAAAAATAGTCCACATTGAGTTTTGAGTTTTGTACTGTTTTTAATATAAATTTAAAAACTCAATATGGATTATTTTGTTAGGACGGAGGTTGTAATTAATACTATCCAAAGTGAGCAGAAATGAACCGGCCAGACTCTTAATTAACGTTTGGCCGACAAGATCATCTCCAGCTGAGCCTGCCAGGAAGATGACCGGTGTTTTGTTCAACTGTTGTTGGTTAACTAGAAATATGGTTTAAGTAAAGAGCAAATCCCTTCATGGTAAAAGATCGGTTGAGTCTAGAGTTAGACAGCAATTTATGGAAGAATTGGATGAGGGCTAGCTACATTACCTTGGCAAGTTTTTCTATGAGTCTCATCAAAACGCTTCAATCTGGAAAAGACTGACACTGACGAAGCTTGGATCTCTACAGTGTCTTAGGACAGGTGGCAATGATGATCTAGGCGGCGGCGGACGACCTAAAACCTGCAAGAAGCTTCGGGTGTCTCTCGAGGATAGACTCTCCGATGCTTAAGTCAATAAGAGAATAAAGAGAATAGAGAGAAAAAGATGTGTATCGTGTGTAGAAGGTGTAGAAGATAGGTAGAAGATATGAATTATAGGAGAGGCACCACCTCTTTATATAGAGGTAATGTTACCTGTTTCCTGAAACTCTAGCGGAATTGGTTTAGTCGGTGACTTAATCTCCAAGTAATCTAATCCTAGGCCCAATAGGCCTAGGGTTTAATTCTGACTCGTCAAGTGCCCCTAGCAAGCCATATTCTCGAGACTTGCCAAGAAGAATATGGGTTGCTACGAGTATTGATGTCTTCTCGAGTTTCGTGGTGTTGCCATAGTTCTCGAACTCTTTTGTTCACGGGTGTCAACTATATAAGATAAAGAGAGTAGGATGCCTCGATGAGGTCTTTATTGTTAGAGAATTCCTTGATTGCGCGGTGGACCACGAGTATCCTTGTTTGCGCGGTGGACCGCGAGTGTGTAGATCATTGAGATACAATACAAGATAATAATGACATATGATCCCTCAAATTCCTTGCCCCAAGGGTATGTCCTCGGTTGTGCCCCAGAGTACGTTGTCCTCGTTTAAGGGTGATAGGGTTTTACCGCGAGAGGGTTGGTAATTTGAAGAACTCCTTTAATCATGCTAAAAAAAATATCGTGACATGATAGTAATATGATAATGATATCAGCAGTAAATTGATTTAGATTCGATAAATATATTAAAAAAGATTTGAGAAGTAATTTGGTTTCGAGTTAAATTAATTACTCGAGAAGGTATTACCTCGATTCCGAGAAGGTATTATTTGAGTTGATGAAAGTCGAGATACTTCTCGAATACTTCGAGTAGTAGTAAGGTGCTCAAGGGATGCTTTCCCCTTCAAGGAGATGTATCTTCTCGAACACTTCGTGTAGTAATATGGTGCTCGAGGGATTGTTGCCCCTTCGAGGAGATGTATCTCTCGAAACTCCAATCTTTGAGATTGTCCCTTGCTAATTGTTCTTCTCGATCAGCTGTGGAGCAAGTGCAGCTCCTCGATTATTTGTGCAATCGAAAACTTCTTTGTACTACTTGTTGGATGACATCTTCTTGGCCAAACAAAGATAATTTTTGCGTGATCTTCTAGTTGCAAAATTGAAGCAACGAATTAACACCGTGCTTCGCTAAAAAAATTTATTTGGTTGTGAAGACCAAACAAATCGCTCCCACTGAGCGTGCCACTTGACGAAGCTTGGATTTGTACGGTGCCTTAGGACGGGCGGCAATGATGATTTAGGTGGGCGGACGGCCTAAAATCTGCAAGACAGAGTCTCGGGTATTTCTCGATGGTAGACTCTCTGATGTTTAAGTCAATAAAAGAATAAAGAGAGTAGAGAGAAAAAGATGTGTATTGTGTGTAGAAGGTGTAGAAGATAGGTAGAAGATATGAATTATGGGAGAGACACCACCTTTTTATATAGAGTTGATGTTACCTATTTCCTGAAACCATAGCAGAATAGGTTTGGTCGGTGACTTAATGTCTAAGTAACCTAATCCTAGGCCCAATAGGCCTAAGGTTTAATTCTGACTCGTCAGACACCGTCACAAAAGCCACCAGCGATCACAAAACATATGTTCTATTATGCATGGATCGACATTCTAAATACACACTTTAATTTTTATACTTTTTTCTTCTTTTTTTTTCCACAAAATGCATCTTCACCAACCTGAGGGTTCAATTTGTCGAGCTCCGCTAGAAGTTCTCCTAACTGTGATCTTGTCATGCAACTATGCAAGGACGTTATTGAGATAGGCCAGGCCACAGTTACACTTTCGATTCAACATCAAAATAGAGCCAGATCGGTTTCTTCATAGTATCATGTGCCTCAACTTTCAACAACACATCCAGTTGCATCATTTGAATCTTAGTTATTTCAGCATCAAACATCATTCCTCCCCCGGGCGCTCCTGTTGCACCGCAAGCTGCTATACCAAATCGCAAGGTACAACATTTGAAATGAGGACGGTATCGTTACTCAATGTCCAAGGAAACTATTTTCACAGTTGAAATAAATAACCAAATCAATGCCATACACTTTGCAAATCTTTGACTGAGCCTGCCATTCACACAACTAAACAACAAACAACTCAAGAACTCAAGAATACACTTTTGATGATCTCAACTAGCGCAAATACATGCATGTAACGTGCATATAAACTCTCTTCTAAATTAGTGCAAATACATAATTCGTCGCCATCAATAACCAATGTTCATTAAAAAAAAAAAAAACACAAAGATATATATAGCACAAACTAAGCACAGAAGTACAAGTACAGAAACCCAACATCTGTATAGACACAGTAGTCTAAAGTCCCAACTAAATTGGCCAGATAGCTGACTAAATTGGCTCACATAAAACACAGCATAGCAAGAGAAATGTAAATAGAAACGAACAAATTCTTATTCTCACTCTCATTCTCACCCTTCTTCTACGATACACAACCCTTATTTTATCCTATCATAAATACTCTCTTAATTACCTACACATTAGAACGATATCCAAACTGGCGGACTTATAAAACTAACGGACTCTATGTCACTGAACCGCTCAATACTTCCGTCTTCAAGATTATAAATTCCCATGACTTCACCACCCCCTAAACCAAGCCGACCTCCTCCTCTTCCAAAACTTTCTTGATAAATGTAGGCTTCAAAGCAATCATCCCTAAAATATATACAATTTGAATCACCTCCGGAAAGGCAGTAGCGGGAATAGAAATAGCACAACTATGTCCAACAAAAATAGCATCATCTCCCAAGCTGGTGATCTCTTCATACACGCATTTTGTCAAGTCCAATCGAATGACCTTAAAATTAGTAACCCCATAACTGTTATATTCTTCCTCTTCAAGTCGAGTACCGTCCCGTGTAACCATTAGTAACTCACCGCTTGATGAATGGATGAATTTATCCTTGCTTGTTATGGCTCGCCAAGAAGTACAAACTCTAAAACCCATAAAATCTTCCACGGACCACGCATTTTGATATCTCTACCAACATGTCGTGAACAAGGCCCGACCAATCCCTGATGGGTTCCGTCATTATTGATTAGTCGACCAAAAGAGGGTAGGAGTAAAAAGCAAAAACAACAATACTAATTACGCTATTTATGCATGTAACTATGTATGTACATATCGCAAGCCTAATTCCCTATTCCCAGTTGGATCGGGTATTCGATGGGGCAGGATTTTCAACCTCATATTATACACACGCAGTGGGAGCTAGAATTTGTAGTAAGCAGGGGCCAAATGTGACCAAAAAATTTTGCAGGGGCGAAAAATGAAAAGTTTCTGAAATTATAGGTAAAATTTCAAACAAAAAAAATATTTACTTCCTTGTAAATTTTTTTAGGGAGGGAGGGGGGGCGGCTGCCCCTGCTGGTCCCCCTCCCTCCGCCACTGTACACACGACCAGCATGCGAAGCCTAAAATATTCTCTCCCGCTTTTCATCTAGGCAATTACTAGTATGATCATCAGATTCTTTTGAAACGCAGTGATAACTAAATTTTCAATTCATCCTTTGTTATACTATTACCTTCCTATAAATCTCAAAACTCAATATAGACTATTTTTTTTAGGACGAATGGAGTAATTAATAGCTGAGAGTACAAGGAGAATCAGATTCGTCAATTATCTTTGCTACCTTTGTTTAAGAAAAAATTTTAGTATGAAAAATTCATCTATTCTTTTAAAACTTAATCAAATCAATAATCATCCTTACAAATACCATCTCAAATATAGATGATTTGTTAGTTTTTTTTTCACTTTTTTATATTTAATTATTGGTCATCAGAAGTCCAAAACTATATTATTTTGTAATTTATTTTAATTAGACCGCGGATTAAACAACGGTTTTAAACGTTCAGAATTGCCGATGTTGAACCCGGTTTTCAAATCGTTTACCACAGTTCTGGTTCCGATTTATGAACCGTTGGTCTCGTTCCAGGCTGGATCCTGTTAAAACCTGTTTGGGACAGAGGAAGTACTACCATTTTGCAAACATACTGTCCTGTAAGCATATGAATATATTGCCTCGGCACATATTTTTGTAAAAAAAAAAACCAGAAAATGAATTAAAATGTGAAGGGGCACGAACAACCTTTTCCAGATCAAACCTCACAAAAGAAATTAACAGAGTCCTTTTGATTTTATTGTTCTAACTTTCAATGACTTTCAACTAGCTAGAGGTAAAGCTGGCAATTTCTCTTCTCTTTTCCCTTCCTTCCATAAGATTACAAGTTCCATTACTACAGGAAGCAACAACTCCTTGGAAACAATTATTTAAGCGACCAGACTCTTGGATACAATCTCAAACACGTTCTCCGAAAGCCCGTTGGCCGACAAGATCATCTCCAGCTGAGCCTGCAAGGAAGATGATCGGCGTTTTTGTCAACCGTTGTTGGCTAACTAGAAATGGTTTAATTAAGAGCAAATCCCTTCATGGTCACAGATGGGTTGACTCTCGAGTTAGACAGCAATCTATGGAAGAGTTGGATGAAGCTACATTACCTTGGCAAGTTTTTGTCGAGTCTCATCAAAACGCTTCCATCTGGAAAAGGCTGACACCATCCTAGAAGCCACCTGCGATCACAAAGCACATGTGTTTTATTATGCATGGATCGTCATAGTAAATACACAGTTTAATTTGAGTATTTTTATTTTTTTGACAAAATGCATCTTGACCAACCTGAGGGTTCAGTTTGTCAAGCTCCACTACTAGTTCTCCCAAGAATTTGTAGCCCGAACCATCTTTGGCATGGAAGTTGACACGCGACCCGGTAAATCCTCCAATCAAAGAATAAACCTGCACCAAATATCAGAGATAAAGAATGCGCCGAGCGGTTTTTCAGTTAAGTTGGTAGCAATTTACAAACCTTGTTAGGGTTACGAATGTCAAACGATGGATGGTTTAGCAGTTTCTTAACATTTTCAACATTCCCAGGAATATCCGACATGGCTTGAAGGGCTAGCCACTTGTTCACAACCTGTAAAAATGTAAAGGAAAAGGTGAAAAGCGCAAAAACTTCCTTTCTGTCACATAAGCACACCTCAAATTGAATTCTTGTCCATGTAAACAAGGCAAGACTCAAAAGTGGACGACAAACAAATGCACATAAAAATTTGTGGTTTTGTACGATCAACATCCAGAGTTCTATAAAAGTTAATGGCCAGGGTGCAACACATTCAGACTTAACCACAGATTAAGATACGCCATCTTTTCTCAGTTCAGCTAGTGTTAACCTTTTCTTACATATTAATAACACACAAATGTCAGTACACCTAAAAACAAAGAAGACTATACTGTCCCTTCAAAAACCAATATGATAAGAGGATTGTCAATTGCAAGATCAAAAGACACAATACAAATAGCATGGAAGAAAGGAGGCACTGAGAGATTACCAAATAATCATTTTGCCACTTGCTGTAGAAATCAGCCAATACTTGATCACGAATTTCACCAGGATTCTGTTCAATGGCGACAAGAGCAGCAAACTGGTCTGTCATGTTGGTGGCAGCCCTATATTCCTGTAGTGCAAGCTCAATGACTTCTGGATCGTCAAGTGACCCTAGATAAGCTGCAAAATGGAAAAAATAAATGCCATCAGTTAAAAAAAGAGTTCAAGAGAAAACAATACTATTTTCCAGGAGTAACAAGGCCTCATAACCCACCAAGGGCGACATTTTTCAGCGCCCTCCTAGACATATTCTGTTGGTTGAACTCATATGGCTCAGAACTCCGGTTATTATTCACCTGATAAGTTATTGTGGCAAAAAAAGATCAGACCACAAATGGTAAAGGACACAACATATTCAAAATGCTCTCAGTTGATATACCGTGCTAATGAATTCTTCTTTTAATTCAGAAGCTAACTGCTTCCTAATGAAAGTCCGAACAGCATGAACAGCATCAGGATCAGCAACATCCATCAGATCCATTATCTCACCTTCTCCAGGTAAAGTAATTGCTTTGGAAATGAACTCCTAAAATTACATTTTTGAAGTTGAAAGTGAGCAATTCCCCTTTCTAATTGCATAAGTGAAGACAAACAAATAGAGCCATTTGAAAATATAACCTTATCCAAGCTTGAGTCACAAAGTATACTCTTTAGCCCTTGTACAAATTGAGGATTAAGAACCAATGGCTTATTCTGTTGGTAATCAGCCACCAGACCAAGCATAAGCTTCCTAGCCAGGATCTGCCCAGCCTCCCAACTGATGAAAGAAAGACAAAAGCTAAGACAACGTTTCTGCACAAATGATAAGATTGGTATACATGATATGGAGATTCACAAAGCAAGTTACCGGTTGAACTCATCCGAATCATGTGCAAGGAGAAAAAATAAGTCACTTTCTGTTAGATCTGAGTCAAGACGCACGGGAGCACTAAATCCACGCAATATCGAGGGAATTGGCCGCTCTGGTACATCATTGAACACAAATTCTTCTTCTTTCTGCTTATTGGAAACAAAAGAATGGTACATCATTAGTGGTAGGCTGTGGGTAGAACCACAATTGGTGCACATCAAGGAGCACGCTAATGTGTCTTCTATTTCTAGCAAAATCTAAATTATGCTCGTAACGAAATAAAGAATGATGCTGAATCAGTTTTTCTGCATACAACACCACTTAATAACCCAAGGATTGTATCTTCTAAAGAATGCACATAGTTTAAGATCTGAAGACTCAACAAAAAAAAAAGTGGATCCACAACAACAACTTGTAACCGAGATTCCAAATTAAATCAAATATATAGTGTATGACTCGGATCACAAATCTCTTAACAATAAATTTATCACTCAATGCAAAATGCTAGTTAAACTCACAAACATAAGGATGCTGGTAAGAAATCTGTAGAATCTTTTCTCTCTCTTTTAAATGCCTCATGTAAAGTGGTCAATATAGATCGAGGAAACAACAAATATAAGTTTCTTTTTATTATTTATTCAAAGAAAACATTTTCTATTCTCTCATGAGACAAACTAAGTCTCATGAATGTATTGGACTCCCAGGATACATTATACAGAGGAAATTCCAAACTGACCTTTGTCATTCTGAGAATGGCAGTGTAGACTGGCTGTCCATTGCTGCCAAAACTCTCCAACTTTCCATCATGGTACAAAGAAGACAGAGCCATGTCATTGCCAGTTGAGTCAAGTAAGCCGATAGCAATAGGAATGAACATAGGCTCTTTGACAGGCTGTCCAGCGGTTGGAGGAACCTCTTGACTGGAGGGTGCATATCAGTTACATAAGAATCACATTAGCTGTTCTAGCAAAATCTATTACAGAGCTCAAAATTGAAATACTAATCAATCAAGACCAGTCACCTGATCTTCAGCTTATAAGTACGAGCTTCGGCATTGTATTCTGAGACAACTTTCACAGATGGGGTCCCAGCTTGGGAATACCTACATTTTTGGTCCAAAATAAGACGAAAAGAGAGAAATGAAGAGGTGTTTCTGCAGTACAAATTCGGTAAATATTTGCAGGAGAAGGTTCAAGACTTACCACAACAAGAAGTTGGCAAAATCAGCACCATTTGCATCTCGCATGGCTGCATAAAAGTCTTCACATGTTACAGCTTGACCATCATGCCTCTTGAAGTAGAGATCCATGCCCTATGATGTCACGAGAGAATTATTTCAAGTTACTAAAGAGATTCATTGGTTTGAATAAAGCTCAACAAATATTTTATGTCAACCTTTCTGAACCCTTGACTCCCCAGCAGGGTTTTGTACATCCTAACAACTTCAGCACCCTGCTCACAAGAATTGTAAAACAAACAAATGCAAAATGAAATTCTGTCCAGGAAATGTGCAAGGGTAAATACATCTTCTGTGCCCCTTTCTTGGGTGCAACACCATATGTAAGTATGTGGCTTGGAGGAAGACAGATATAGAACTAACCTTCTCATAAACCTGAAAGAACCAAAAAGAGAAAGTAACAGTTAAAAGACCTGCCTCTGAAGTCAACATATTTGGTGTAAAACAAAAGTCTCAACTACTTCATGATGTACTCACCGTCACTGGAAAATTCAGGCAATTCGTTGACAAAAAAAATCCGCCATCAAACCCGAATGAAGCATGAGAAGCAAGAGCCAAGACATTCCCATCCAAGTCAGTACCAAAATAAAGTCAAATCATGAGAATGAAATAAGATCAAAAGAACATTTACTATACTGAAATGAAGTAAGATCTTGCCTGTATAGAAATTATCCATCTGTCAGAGAGAGAGGGGACCATGAGCACAAAATTCAAATAGATTCAGAAATATGAAATTAGTAGAGGGGAAGATAATCATGAATACTAGGCGATTCATTACCTTGATGTAAGAGTGAGGCCGAACAGGATGAGCCATGGGACTGGCATCCTAGAGAGAATAACAGGAAGATGATTAGTTGGCTTCAACTTAAACAAAGATCACTGGAATGCAATATTCTTGCCCATCAAGTACTTTGCACCGCATCCAACTCTGGACTTACCTGAGGAAATTGACTAACTCGAAGCCTCCAAACATCTGCTATTCTCTTAACTGGACGGCTTCCCATATCAGATGAAAATTCCTGTCAATTTGCAACCAGCATTATTCAATTAACCAAAAAAATTACAGATTAATATGACTAGCTTCTAAGCATAAAACATAATGATTATGTCATTACCTGGTCACGGAAAACAGTAAGCCCTTCTTTTAAGCTGAGCTGGAACCAGTCACGACATGTCACTCTGTAATCAGCAGTTCAGTAGTAAATCTCCAACATTCATTGGTACCAGAAATTTTAATACGGATAACTACTAGCAATTCAAAACCTAAAGACCAATCAAAATTAATAACTTCACCTGTTGCCTGTCCAGTTGTGAAAATACTGCAATAAAAGAGAACAAACCCATCAAGATTTACAAAATTGACATGGTACATAAAGAGAGTGACAAACACTGAATAGCATACCTCATGACCAATCACACCCAAGATTGAAGCATAATCTCCATCAGTCGCAGTCTCTGGGGATGCTAAAACAAGCTTGGAGTTGAAAATCTGTTGAGAGAAAATGCCAGTTTTCAGAAGGTACACAAAGAAATGAATAGAACCAGTCACACAGCAAAAACAAAAGGTATTGCTGAGGAAACATACATTCAAACTCTTGTTTTCCATAGCCCCCCTGTAGAAATACAGAGAGAGAGAGAGAGAGACAAAATATGCATCAATGTATAGAACACCCAAGTCAAACAAGCATAAGGGGTGGAAAGAATATCAGTGCTAACTTACATGTTAAAATCGGGAACAGCAACGATATTGAAGAGATCGAGGTCATACTCAAGACCAAAGACCTGGTACAAAGAAAAGAAAGAAGTATGCAAGCAAAATAGTTAAAGTTGTCCAGCTGTAAAAGTACAGGAAATCTTCAGAAGGTCATCAGCAGAAAACTCACATCTTCATCCCATTTCATTGCAGCTTTAAGAGAATACATGGCATGTTCTGTCTTGGGCAGGTCTTCAGCAGGTGTCCAAATTCTAAGTGAGACATTGCGTCCCGAACGAGTAGTAAAAGTGTCATCTCTGCTCGCTAACTTTCCAGCAACCAGAGCAAAAAGATAACAGGGTTTCTTGAAAGGATCTTCCCAAAGAGCATAATGTTTGCCTCCCTGCAAAAGCAAAAAGCTGCGGAACCATCCAACAGATAACTTATGGCAACTTCTGAAACAAGGGAACAGGAGATAATACCTCTATGTCACCTTGCTCAATCAGATTTCCATTCGATAGTAGAACAGGGTACAATGACTTGTCCGCTTCAATGCGACAAGTATACTTAGCCATGATGTCAGGACGATCCTAAAATTGGAAACAAAAGCATAAATGCAGAGAAAATAAAATAACATAACTGCTAGAAACTTTCTTCAGCGGTGGAAAAAGCAAGCCAAACCTGATAGAATGTTATTTTCCGGAAACCCTCTGCTTCACATTGTGTACAAAAGTTACCAGATGACTTATAAAGCCCCTGAATTACCATCATGCGGAACAAACATAGAGAAATCAACAAATATAAAAGAAAAAACGATTATAAGAACACAAGTACACAAGACTTTCCGTCAATCTAAATAAGAGATAGTGAAGTAAATGATTTTTACCTCCAAGGATGTGTTCTTATGTGGAAGTATTTCAGTAACAATTTCCAAAGTGAAATTTCCATTGGGAGGTGATATTAGAGTAAGGTGTCGTGGACTCAATTTATAATCTTCCTCCTGCAACAAGTTAATTTCTTAAAGTCAAATGATGAAACATATCCTTACATTACATGTAGACAAGAATAATGATCCTCTTCTTATGCAAAGTTCAATCCGAAGATGACAATTGAAGGGAGAATGAGGAAAAAAAATTAACTAGAATGTAAAATGATAGAAGATGCTATAGCTAACTCTAAGTCCAAGTCACATAGCACTTCATAATTATCGGACACTACATACCCTCAATTGATTGCCATTAACAGATACAGAGATCAGCTTGAGATCTTGTCCATCTAAGACCAGTGGGGAAGAGGAACCTGTTGGCAAGTTTGTCCGCCAAAAAATCAAAAGTAAACCATCAGCAAATCGAAAACAAGGAAGAACTCTGACCATAGAGATACCTTGGCTCAACATGATAAAGCTCTTACCAAAGAAATATAAAAATAAAAGTAAAAGGCACATCTCAAGGAGATCCTATAAACAACTTTAGTATCGCAAAAGATTACCTCGTTCTCTGGGTTGGACACTTATCTTCGAAGAGACAATTGTTTTCTCCTCTCCCAGTGAAAACTTCAAATCCACCTGAATATTCATTATGTCATTCCAAATGTGTACCTCTAGATCAATTGGAATCGCAGACTTAAATATGGGTACGCATACATACTGAATCAAAATAGTAGTCAGGCTTCTTGTAATCCTTAAGAAAAATTTCCTTTGGTGTTTCCATTTCAGATTCCTCAACTTGCTTCGGCAGTGGTTCTGTAGCGACTGAGCAGATTAACCTTTGGTTTAGTTTCTTAGTGCCCTAAAGAATGTAGAACATGAAACGTAAATAAGATTGCATAAAAACAAAATACATCACAATCAAGGATTTACCCCAAAAAAACAATAATAAGGGCTGGACCAACTTACACCGTGTGGAAAAAAATATGGAAGTCTATAACCCCTTTTCTGAATAACCTAGTAGAGAAGAGAATATAAAGAGAAATCAGAGGGCAACACCAAACTTCCCAAACTAAGATGATAAGTTGGATTTACAAACATCTAATCATGTTTAACTGAAAGGTGATTCCATGTAAACTACCTCGGAACTGAAGATTCTCCCACACTTATAGAAATTGTTCACTGAAAGTGGGCGACAACTCCCTTGGAGAGTCGCCTGGAACTGCAAGACCACAAATGAACACAACAAGTGAAAAACAGTTCCAGCATACATTCTACATCATTGCTAGTGAAAATTCAACAAAAATAACATAACGCCAGTAAACTTCAGCTAAAATTCAAAAAAAAAAAACAAAAACAAAAACAAAAACAAAAACAAAAAGGCATACTCTATTGCACCAAGGAACAAGGAGTAAGAGAGAGCTGAGAACAAAAACTAAATGTAGAACAGTTTTCAAGAGGAAACATAGCAGAAGCTGACATTATAAGAGTCAGGAGAGGACTACAAACAAAATAAGACCGAGACAGCTACATCATAATATTCCACTTCTCTCAAAAATTCCAATCAAGCCATTCAGAAAAGGCGTAAAGAACGTAATGAGACACAAGGGATTGAGTAATCACACGAGGGGTAGAAGATATCAAACCCAAGATGCAATTCTTTGATAAAGTTGAGGTCTTGCAAGGCAGAATCAATCGAGCCATCTATATCACCTACTGGTAACAGTGATAGTAAACAACAAGGAGCTCGATTACGGCGGGAATCCTATATAACCTTTCAAAAAGATTCAATTTTTAATCAAAATAAAACAAACCCACCACCCAAAAAAAACTCAATTAAATCAACCAAAACCCCTGAAACCAAATGAAGGGTAATAAACCCAGATAAAAGAATAAAGTCGAAACAGATAAAACATAGAATTACAGGTCCCTACTTCTTATAAGGTTTGAAAGCGCACATATATGGATAATTCAGGAATATGGACAAGAAAAATCAAACAAATAAATATAAAAAATTAAAATTATATAAGTATTAACCATTAAAACATGTCAAATCTTTGCTTTCGTGTTACCTTTCTGCTGATGATGATCAGAGAATGAAGGAAAACAGAGCAGAAAAATATCTTCCGGAATTCCTGATTATCACTCAACTCAAACTGGTGATATTTATTAACATTGATAGTCTAAATTTTTATTGATTTTTGGATATATCATAAATACAACACAATTCGTAGCTCTGATGTAATGGGTCAGAGGTCGATCCTTGATGTGATTGGCTGATTTAACGGTTTTTGTTGAATCTTTGTTAAATTCGTTCACTTCTGTATATTTTTAGGATTGGGCTTCAAAAATAGATGGACCCGGGCTGAGTTGGAAACTGAACAGGCCCTCTATCTAATTAGAGTATTGGACCTGTTGTGCCCAACAAATTCGATGTTTTGTCACTATTATTCGGTAATTCTGGGGACAATTTGTCCTTAATAACAGCGCAAGATTAGAAATTAAATTTAATATTTTATATCTTAACATTTTAATAATTTATTGTGCCATTTTTTGTTCAAAGAGGAAAAATACCGGTAAAATTCTGTCTTCTTTGTTAAGAAAGAGTAAAATTGTTCACTAAACTAATAAAAAAGTTTCAAATTGAAAAGCTTTGACGGAATTATTCTTTTGTTTATTTTCATGGTTATTAACTTAATCGTCACCTCGGAATTTATTCCAACAAGTATTTTGGATAGAAATTGCTTTTAACGATAGAAAATTATTTGTTTATGAGGTAATGTGGTTTATAACCCTTTCGAATCAATTATCTTCTAGTTAATGCTTTCAAATCGTGTCCATTTTGTGAATAACAATACCTAAATTAATACTAAATAAATTCCTCGTCAAAATAGAAACGTACGGAAGTTGAGTTGGAAGGGGCCCTTTTGTATGGAATTTTAGAGGGTTGTTTGACACTGAAGCTATTTTAGACAGTTTTATTGTATTGATTATGATAACATATTTTTTAAAAAAAAAAACAGCAATAGTTTGGTCCAAAAACATCACAAAATTCCGTTCGAGTTGTGTACTCATGTCCTTCTCAAATAAGAGTCATACATTTTTCAAAAAATAAAAATAAGAGTCATACATTAATGTAATTTAATCAATAAGACTTTTTATTTGAAATGGAGAGAATATTTTCATTACTAGTTATTTAATGGCTCCTTTCTAGTTGTTAAATGGATAATTAGATTGTTAATTCCCCGGAGTGACCTTCAAGGAAACTGCTTAAGAGAGATGAGGGCTTACTGGATTTTTGGGACAACATTGTAGTATTTTGCTACATATTGTATGCTGGCCGCATGTTTGGCTACTTAAAATATTTGGTAACCCCATGTTAACTTAAGCTACAATAAACAAAATGCTTTTTGGAGTGTTTACACTTAACAAATTTTATTATCAACTTGGAAACAAATTTTGTAGCTGATTTCTAGATTTCTCGACTTACATCTGGATTAGGAGGTATTTTACGGTTGTATAATTCTCGACATAATATCGTGATTAGAACATAACATAATAAGTGTCTTCGATCCAAGAAATGAACTAATACTTTAATCCATATTTATGCATCTTTCCATTGGACCCAAAAAAAACAAAACCTGGAAACAAATGTAAGCACAAAATTAAGTTGTAGGTTTAATAATTAAGTGTAATACATATGGTATCAAAGTTTAATCAAATTTCCATGTTGCCGATTGTTTGTTTAGTGTGTACCTGAGATTGTGTAATCTACCGAAGGAAATGACATCGTTGATGGAATACGACGTTGTTGGAACTTCTCACTGGAAGGTTTTAATACTTTATTAATAAAAATTACAGGCTTTTATTATTTGTTATACCGATAAAAAGGTTTAATTTAATTAATTTAATTTTTTAAATAGATTGATCAAGCTTGTTGCTCTTCCTGGCCGGCATGAATGATAGAGAACATTGAAAAAAAATGTGTATGGGAACATGGTGAGCCATTTCCAGAATATGGGCCTAATTATGAGCAGGGAATACTGTGCAAAAATGCTTTGATAATTTCCAGAATGGATTTCAGATGCATGCACCCGTGCCTTAAAGAAAACAAGTATTGTGCTTCTTTAACTTTTTCCCAACACAAAATGTGTTCTCCACGAATATTATAGAGTAAAATCCTTAGTTTTATCTCCATTTTCTCAAAAGAAAAATTTTATTTGTTGATTCCATGAGCATATATAAATTGATGTTTTTTTGTACAAATATGTGGAAATTGATTTGTGTATGGACCAAAATTGAAAGTGGAAGTTTCCTCTCTACCAAAAATGAATTACGATTAGACAAATTATCTAACATTGGATGCAAAACAATGATGAGGAAGAAGCTACATATATATATATATATATGGAATCTTTGTGGGTTATATATATCTTTTTCAAAAATAAATTAAACAAAAAAAATGGACCCCTAGCTTGATGAAACAATCTTTGTCATGTGTTTTGTAAACACAACACTTTTAATAACAAGCTCTAAAAAGGGCCAAAAAGTTTAGTCAATTTTTTTAATGATTTTATACACGTAAAAGGTGTCTACAAGTTTGTTTGTAGGCCAACTTCCAAGATCTTTAGAGTAGGATTGAATGGCTTTCCACTCATTTTCAGATAGTGAAGAACCCTTAATTTGTGTACACATTTGCAACCAAACCCTAGACACATGCTCAACACACACATCATCATTAAAAAAAAATAAAAATAAAAGTATAGTACTTATATATATAAATGGATGCCCTATGATAAGCAACATCGTATGCTATATGTTGCTAACACGTAGATAAGGGATTTTAAACTAAGTATTATTGGTCTCACATGCAAGCATGTGCCTATAAGGGTTCTTAGGTAGTACCAAAAGAGTGTTTTGGACTTATGTTGAAACTTGAAAGCTGAAAATGAAACAAAGCCAAATTCTAGTATGATTTTAAGTCAACTTGTGAGTCCCCCTTTGAGGAGGTATGATATGAAATGAAAGAAAGAAAAAAAAAAAAAACCCGTTTGGACTAACAAAGAGTATGGGAAATGTCTCATTTTCTTGTGTACAATAATTGCTTTGTTTGAACTTCGAAGTTTGATGATTCGGTTGTGTGCAGATAGAGCGAGCACTCATGAGATGCAAGTTAGTAGTATAAGTTTATTGATCCCCAACTACCATCCTATTGAATTCTAAGGCAAAAAATAATGCAAACGGTTACGAGGGGGTTCATTTGTGTTACATTGTACGTATACATGTACAAAGTGAATGTGACAACCAAAGAAAATCTATCACTTCCATTCATACTAGGAAGTTGTAATAAACATTGCAGTTTCAATTTCTTTGTCAAGAGTCAAAATTTATGAGTATATTATTATCAAAGTAATTTCTTAGGATGTTTTGATACATGTGACATAGCTTCAATACTATGAATTGAATAATATAGAAAAGTTATCTACAAAATTATTTTTCAATATTTCATTTCGATCTACAATCAACGTAGAATTTCACAAATTATTATAAGTTCTCTTATACAGTGTTACAAGATTTCGTAAAAAACAAAACAAAACCCTCACCTCACTTGTATTAGATCCATTTGAAGTCGTTATACTGTGATGATCCATGAATTTAATTAATCTCGTTTGAAGAGTGGCCCTTTCACGATGGTTAGCAAGAAAATTGCACATTATTTCGTGTATAATGAAGATTTAACTAAACTATAAATTAATGTGGGGGAAGTACATGTATACACTTATCCAGGACGGCAAGTCGATGACAAAACATAGTCCTAGTTTCGGTTCAACATAAATTCGACCATTGATAAAAACATAGAGCAACTATATTTTATTCTCATTGCAAAAATCTACATTATCTAAATTTTATCCTTATATCATTGGATATTTGATTATACTAATTATTTAACGAGTAATCATTTTTATTGGTTTGCCTGCATTGCTACAATTTTCACAAACATGTTTGACCGTCTTAAACGAAAAAGTCCAAGGAAATTGAAAGGCCAAAAAATGAAAAGTTGTAGCCAAATCATACTACTACTCTTCGTCTAGGCGTGTAATAACCTAAGAAGACTATTCAATGGTTAACGATGATTACTATAGTTTTGTTATAATTAAGGAATCTTTCAATTAAAAAGAAAAAGTTTTGAAGTATTTTCCTCGACTAAAGATCTAGTACATCACCTTTTCGTATTTTAATTGCTTCTTATATAATAATATATTATTATAGTAATTCATTTTGATACTTATACCCTCAAAAAAAAAAAAGTGCCATCTACATTTTATTTAGTATTATTTTGGGTTTACTTCTATATTATTTTTAGAATTATATTGATATTTTTATAAGAGAAAATTAAAATAAATATTAACTTTAAAAAAAACACTTTAGGAGTACAATTAGCGCGAATAAAAAATCTTTTGAGGTTTTCCCGCTTTGTCTTTTAATGCCAAACATTAAAAACTAACTAAGGAAATAGTAATGTCTTCTTGACATCATTACTTCAATCACTACATATTAGGAGTACAATTACTCAACAATTAAAAGGACCAAAAAAAAAATAATAATAATTCCGATCAAAACTCTATGGAAAGAGCAGATTGTGCTGTCTGTCATCGTGTGAATTAAATCATTGTCCAAAAAGGAAAAACAATCATACCCAAAAGTATATGAAAAAAAGAAGAAAGAGAGTTAAAAAAAAGGCTACTTTTGTTCACTGTTCATTCAGTATTTTATAGTTGGTTAAAATTTTCAGAAGGAAGAAGTACACTGTTTTTTCGATTTTACTTCTAGTTGTTATAAAAAGGGAATTCAGAATCACCATTCCTTGGTCAGATCTGTCCTTTCAAATTTTGGGGTCCCATGTTGTTGTTACAATGAATATCCTCTGCCTTCTCTCACTCTCATCATCAAAGGTGACCTCTTTTTTGAGCTTGTCATTTGTCAAAATTTTGTCAATTGTTTGTCAGCTCCAAAAATTCTCAATTTCTCAGACACAAAACCACACCTTCACTGTGTGTCTATCTCTGTGTGTGTGTGTGTTTTTTTTTAATATAAGTATATATAATGTAGGAGAATTTAGAAATGAGAAAAAAGGGGGAAGATTTATTTATAAAAATTTGGGAAGTGAACACATGTTTTAAGGCTCTTCTGTCATTGGGAAGTGGGGTGGGACTTTGGGACAAACAAATACTTACACTGAGTTCATACTTTTCGCATCTGTAACGTAAAAGAACAGCTCTGCTGCTGAGTGCTGATTCATATGAACTGATGACTGATGAGTGTGAGTACTTAATAGAGTAGTTTTATTGTTCATTTGTGAGAAAAATTTAATCTTCGGAAGAAATTTGATTAGGCCAAAATAGACGAGCCTTCCCTTTTTTCCACTCCCCAGTTTTTGGTCCTTTTCGGGTTGTTTTTCTTCCTCATTTACTGACTTTCCATTTACATCTATCTCCTCTGTCTTACCTTTTCAAACTTCAAAGAAAAAAAAATTGAGTCTTTCCAGTTTCCACCAGTGAATAATACTTGAATGCTTTGAGCCCCCCTCCATTTTTTGCGGTTTTCAGTAAGAACAGTGTCGACTCATTGACAACTCTCTCCTCTTTCTGCGACTGTAAGTACTCACATGATGATAAATCATAGTAGGAAAGGAAAAAACTTCTTTTATTTATGCTTTTTTTCTTTTTTTGGTGAATTGTTTTCCTTTCTTGCCCCCTTATTCTGATGTGTAAAGTTTCTTTCTTATAACTTTTTCTGATTTTGTTTGACAGGTTTATAGAGACGTGTTGATTGTGGATACTATTCAAGCGGTTTGAGGGTATTTGGTTTTTGTTATTGAAATTTTGGTTGGGTGGAACCCTCTTGGATTTGAACTGAGGCAGTCGAATTATTGAGGATGGAATCTATGGTTTGAGACAAGTAAGTTTTCAGATCTGAATTATCACTATATCTGAATTCATTTGATTGACTTGGGAAACTGGCACTTCAGATTAGAAATCCCTTTGTTCATTTTCTTTTTAAGATCCCAAAGGAGGCATCAAGTTTCAATCTTTAACCATCTTTCCATTATGTTGTAAAAGCTTTAAATGCAGTGTAAGCAATGATGATGCTAGTTAGCCACATTCTGTTCCATTGGATTTTTAGACTGTTCCTACTGGCAGCTAGGCTTTAATGCACTAAGTCGTTGGGTTATTATCTACTAATTACTGAATTGCAAAGTTAATTTCTCTTGACAATTTTAATGTTTCAGTTTTCTGTACACCTAATACTGAGATCTTTGTAATGATCTAGTAAATTGATTTGTTGAGCAAAATCATATAGTTCTCTATTACCATTTACCGATTGAGGTGGCATCTTAAGTATTATTTCTCCATTATGATTTTGGAGTTTCTGGGTAGTTTTCCCAAGAGGGTAATTTGTATCTGTACTTCTAGCTGATTGGTTAATTCCTTTTCGACATCTCTGGTTCTCAAGTATTAGTATTTCGACTAAGTCAAAAGATGCCAATTTCTTTGTCTCAGAGGGAGCAAAATGCATGGTTCTGTGACTTATATGGAAATAACTACTCACAAATATGGATGCCAGAGAAGATAGTGGTAGATTTGCTGGTAGACCGAGTACCACTTTAAGGAATTTATCATCTTCTTCCTCGGCATTCTTTTCGGCGAATCAATCACCTTTTTTCTCCCCAAGATCACCAACATGTCAGTTACCTGCAAATGCCGACAATTCAAGTAAGCCAACCAGTATGTTTCTCAATTGCCTATATATCTTTTTTCTTTTTCCTTACAATTCCTGGATTTGAATTTTTTTTTAATGTAGGATTTGCATTGTCAGATGTATTTGCTAGCACTGCTGATTGTCCTCCGAGTAATCTAGAGGATTTGAATCACGTTTCTTCTGCAACATGTATTTCCGAGGGTGTCACATCAAGCTTTGTTCTGGGTCATCAGTACCATGAACTCGATTATCCCAGGCCGACTGTAAAGCAGAAAAAGCTGCCTAAGATGCCAGAACCTTCAGCAAATTCAACCTCAACCTCCTCTTGTTCAAATAAGTTGAGGAGTTGTGACGTGTATATAGGTTTTCATGGTCGCAAGCCTTTACTATTGCGGTTTACTAATTGGCTACGTGCTGAGTTAGAGGTTCAGGGATTGAGTTGCTATGTGACAGATCGAGCCCGCTATCGTAACTCACGGAAGCATGCAATTGTTGAGAGAGTGATGGATGCCTGTACATTTGGTGTTGTAATCTTGACCAGGAAGTCTTTTAGAAATCCATTTACCATTGAGGAGCTGAGGTTCTTCTCAAGCAAGAAGATTCTGGTTCCAATATATTTTGATTTAGGTCCAGATGACTGTTTAGTCAGGGATATAATCGAGAAAAGAGGGGAACTGTGGGAAAAACATGGTGGAGAACTGTGGCTTCTCTACGGAGGGTTAGAGAGAGAATGGAAAGATGCTGTTGGAGCTCTTTCCCGGGTTGATGATTGGAAACTGGAGGCTCATGACGGAAAGTGGAGAGATTGCATACTTAGAGCTGTGACTCTCTTGGCTTTAAGATTGGGAAGGAGAAGTGTTGTAGATAGACTGACTAAGTGGAGAGAGCTGGCTGAGAAAGAAGAGTTTCCATTTCCACGTAATGAGAATTTTGTTGGCAGAAAGAAGGAATTGTCCGAACTGGAATTTATGCTTTTTGGTGATGTTAGTGGTGATGCAGAGAAGGATTATTTTGAACTCAAGGCCCGACCGCGGCGTAAGAATTTGACAATTGGATGGGGTAGAAGTAATTCAATTGATGAAAAGAAAAAAGTGCGGCAAAGTGAAAACAACAAGAGAAAAGGGAAAGAGCCTGTTGTCTGGAAGGAATTTGAGAAGGAGATTGAAATGCAGAACAATGATTCTCCCCCAAAACAGCAGCATATGCCAAAGATAAAGAGTAACGCAAAGCATGGAAGGAGGAAAAGATCAATGAAGGTTGTGTATGGGAAGGGAATCGCTTGTGTCTCTGGAGACTGGGGAATTGGGAAGACAGAACTCCTTCTTGAGTTCGCCTACAGATTTCATCAACGATATAAAATGGTTCTATGGATAGGAGGCGAAAGCAAATACATCCGGCAAAACTATATGAACCTTTGGCCATTTCTAGAAGTTGATGTAGGAGTAGAGAACTATCTAGGGAAAACCAGGATAAAGAGCTTTGAAGAACAAGAAGATGCCGCCATAGCCAGAGTTCGGAAGGAGCTCATGCGCAACATTCCGTTTCTGGTTATAATCGATAACTTAGAGAGCGAGAAGGATTGGTGGGATCACAAGCTTGTAATGGATCTTCTCCCTCGTTTTGGGGGTGAAACCCATGTGATAATATCCACCCGGCTTTCTCATGTAATGAATTTAGAGCCATTAAGACTTTCTTATCTGTCTGGAGTTGAGGCAATGTCGCTGATGCAAGGAAGTGTCAAGGAGCTTCCGTTAGTAGAGATTGATGCTCTTCGTGCAATTGAGGATAAGCTTGGAAGGCTAACATTAGGTCTGGCTATCGTTGGAGCAATTTTATCAGAGCTGCCTATAAATCCCAGTCGGCTTCTAGATACAATTAACAGGATGCCTACTAGGGATTTAACGTGGAGTAGTGGTAGAGAAAGTCATCCATTAAGGCGAAATACTTTTCTTCTACAACTATTTGAGGTTTGCTTTTCGATATTTGATCATGCAGATGGACCGAGGAGTTTGGCGACAAGAATGGTTCTAGCCAGTGGTTGGTTTGCTCCATCACCAATTCCCATCTCTCTTTTAGCGCTTGCAGCTAACAAGATACCCGAGAAACAACATCGCCGAAAGGTGTGGAAAACGGTGTTGTGCTCCTTAACTTGTGGCTTCACATCCTCGTATTCTCGAAGATCTGAAGCTGAAGCATCTTCATTGCTGCTAAGGTTTAATATGGCTAAACCTTGCATGAAGGAAGGGTATATCCATTTCAGCCCCCTTCTCAAGCTTTATGCCCGGAAAAGAGCAGTCACTGGGGTTGCACAAGCGACGGTAGAAGCCGTAGTTAGTCGTGGGTCTATTAGTGATCACTCCGAGCATATCTGGGCAACTTGTTTTCTACTTTTCAAGTTTGGAAATGACCCTATTGTTGTTGAGCTGAAGGTCACTGATTTGCTGTTTCTGGTGAAAGAAGTAATCCTGCCGCTCGCAATCAGGGCGTTTATCACTTTTTCGCGATGCAGTGCCGCCTTACAACTTCTTCGGCTGTGTACTGACGCGCTGGAAGCTGCAGATCAAGCATTTGTCACCCCTGTTGATAAATGGTTGGACAAATCTCTTTGCTGGAAACCAATCCAAACAAATGCTCAGTTGAACCCTTGTTTGTGGCAGGATCTGGCATTATGCCGAGCTACTGTGCTCGAGATCCGGGCGAAGCTGATGATAAGAGGGGGACAGTTTGATATAGGAGATGATCTAATTAGGAAAGCCCTCTTCATTCGGACATCAATCTGTGGTGAAGAACATCCTGACACCATTGCAGCTCGTGAAACACTTACTAAACTTACTAGACTCCTTGCTAATGTGCAAAATCACATGTCACCATAAATAGCTTTTCTTTTTTCTCCTCCTTTTTGGTTTAATTTAGCCAACATAGTTTATTACATTAGCCACACAATTTTGAATAAATTAAATTGCAGCTCATGCAGAGAGATCCTATGCCATTGCTACTAGAGTTAGATTACATAGATTCATTCTTTCCAAAAGTTCTGTTCTGTTCTCTTTGTAAATTTTATTCTCATATTTAAGGCTAACATTTCAACTCATCTTGGGGTGTTCTAGTTCTTCTTCTTCCATTTTCCCCCTTCGATTTTATCCTATTATAACGCATCGAGGTCCATGATGGAGAAAAGTAATCATGAAAACAGAGGAGATAGTCTCTTTCGAAAAATACACAGCATGGCTGGTCTCGTAGTGAATCCTGACATGTTTCTAGTTTCTACCAAATTTTCAAATGCAGCCCTTGCATGTTTAGTTGCCTAAGAATCAAAAGTCTCCAATACATCGGTTAATACTTGGAAACTCCTTGACAGAAAAACTTTGGTCTTCCAAAACCTGACTATATGTTCACTTCCAAAGCTATTCAAAAGATTATGCGCTACAAAAACTGCTTTTTAGTACCACAGTTACTTGTGCAAAAGGTTTTTGCCAAACAACTTGAGAGGCCAGCAACTGAATCTGATTTACTAGCTAAAAGCTCGCAGTAGAAACAATAATGGCAAGAACTCAACCACAAATGGCATATCGACAATCTAGGCCTGTTTCCATAAATGCATTCTACATTAAAGATAAGCCGACAAATTTCATATGTTCTTGAGAATTCTTAAGCAACCCTAATACTCGAACCAAATCAAGCCTGCTGACTTACTTAGCTTTAAGTCACCACAACAACTTGGTGTAAGACAGAATGAATGAATATGGACAATGCGAGTACAACATGAAAACAGAAGCATGAACTATTCTTTCAGCAAATGGGAAATCTGTTACATATTAAGACTTATTCATGTACAGACACAGTTAAAAGAAATCTTTGTATCCCTTCATTCTCAGGGATCAGCTTTGCCAGCAACTTCCTCATCACTGGACGCGTACTCGTCTTCACTCACCTCCTCGTCACTAGATTTTTCCTCCGGGACAGCACCGGCATCCTCTGGTTTGGCGTACTTTTCACAATACTCTATAGAGACAGTATGTAAGATGTGAGCAAAGAAACAAAAAGTTGAAATGATTAGTTAGATTATCATTAGAACCATTCATCATGCATAAGTAACATCGCTGGGAAATGTTGAATAACCATTCTTTCCCTGTTCAACAGAATCCTATCCCATTAGAAAGTGTCCCAAAACTTTTACAATCAATCGATTCTGGTCAAAACCATTGCAAAGTTTCCATCATTGAGGACTATTCAAGTAAATGGCATACAAGAACTGTCATCCACAAAAACCTAGAAAGCTTCAGAACTGGCATTTAGGTTATAGTTTGTGGTGTTTTCTCATACCCCGATAATCCATAATGGAAGATGTTTTTGTCTTTTCATTGTTATGCTCTTCACATATTAGCAAAAACTTAAGATCGTTGAATTGTTTTCATACAACTCCCTCCAAAAAAAGGGAAAACAATGAAGGGAAAGTAAAGAACTTCACAAAAAGACACTTGTTTAACGAGAATGTATTTCATGCAATTAAGTACTGATAACAACAGTGGAGTAGTGATGGTAACTAATAATTCACATATTTGAGATAAATAATACCTTTAACTCTCTGATCATAAGCATTTCGATCACGCATCATAAGAGCAGCAGCTTCCCCATTCAACGGATCAGATGGATTGGGATACAAAAGAAGTTGAGGAAGAAACACCTCAAATACATTCACCAAATCTGGAAAGTTAATAAAATCAAAACAACGTTACAAAACAGATGCAGGAAAAACCAAGAAAACTGAACCTTCCACAGTAAACTGATGTAAGCAAATAACAACGAAACAGTTCCACATACCAAACATGGGGCTCCATGTCTGATTGATAACATCCAAACAAACTGAACCTGACCTGAATACCCAAACAAGCCACGAGAGAAAGCATTTGAAAACAGTCCTTACACTTTATTTCAGTAGGAAAGTGCACCAATTGAAATTAAATCCTTTAACTCACATTTCATCCACATTGGGGTGGTAAATCTTGTTGACAAAACCTATTGAAGGAGATTTATAAGGATAAGCATCTGGCAATTCCACTCTTATCCGCCACACACCACCTTGATAAGGACCTACATAAACCCACCAAGTAGCAGATAGTCAAAAAGACATAAGCAAACAAAAAAAACTGATTAATGCCCACCATTAAGGCCATAGACTAATGCGGGTTGTCCTCATTGAGAAAACTCAGTGAAACAGAACAATGCACAGTTCTCAACTTGTGATACAGTGCTACAGACCAAAAAGTAACTCAAAAGCAAGAAATAAATGGACAAATCATTAACACAATTAACAGATAACTTATTCATGAATAATTCAACAACTGAGTCAATTGAGCTTAAGAACAGCAAATTCATGGATTAAAAAGGTCGAGATTGAGAGCTCAATAGCCTAAATTTGAGATTTGTACAAGTATATCACAGCTGAAGAACAGGAAAAATGAGTCCAAACCAACTGAACAAAAATTCCCCAGAAGATCATTATCAAAGCCCAGAAAGAAAACAGAAACATCAGCACAAGAAACCGTATACTTATAAAACACACACGGGGATCAAAAAAAAAAAAAGAAGAAGAAGAAGAAAGAAGATCGGATGTTTTACTCTCTTTAGGCCCATGAAATTCCACCGTAAATTCCTGCATGCCATCATTCATCATCTCCACCTTGTAGTCACTCATCATCCTGGTCCACACCACAACAATCAAAACCAGGAAGGAAAAGGAAAAAAAAAACAAAAAACAAAAACAAAAATCACGAACAAAAGATACACTCTTCACTGATTAAATACAAAATGGGAGCCTTAATCCATCAGCCAAAACCAAAGAAAACCAGGGAAAAAAAGAAGAATCAAATCAGAAACCAGTTATTGATTGAAAATTACAGTTTCATTAAATCCATCTCACGGCGTTTGCTTGGCGAAGACATGGTCGCTGGTATTTCCTACAAACAAATTCAATCTTCTTTTCTGGGTTTGAGGTTTTGGAGATTGGAGTTAAAAAGGGATTTCTCTGTGTGTGTGTGTGTGTTTATCGGTGAAAGAATTATTATAGAGAGTAAGAGAAGAGGAAAAAAGGTGAAGAGTATTCTTGAGTGGGCGGTTCAGACATAATATAATATAAGGAGTTTAGTGAAACTGTCATTTTTTTTTCCCTTTTTATCATATACTTCTCTTTTTTTTCCTTCTTAAGTTTTTACCCAACACCTAACCCTACAATTTCACCATGACGGTTAATTTGTGGCACAGCACACAAATAACATCAAACCTGTAATACAATTAGAATTCTCCTAAATTAAGTTTTCACAAAGAAACTTGATATGAAAGTAATTAACCTGCTAGGAAAAAGGCAAAAAATTGTTTGTCCTTTTTTTTCTTTTTCCTTCTTTTTTCGTTTTTTAAAAAATTTGTTAGTTCCTTGTAATATAATGTTTTTACTGTGATGGTTATCCTTAGCTCTTTGATATGAAACTGTCAAAAATGAAACGGTTATTCACCAAAATTATTTTATATTTTGTTTTTGAAATTATCATCCAAAGATAAAATTAACATTGAGACTTGAGATATATGCATTAATGTCAGCATTTAACTATTTTAAGTTATTCTTATTAATAAGAAACTTGATATGAAAGTAATTAACATAAGAGGAGAGAAAAAAGTGTGTCTTCCACTTATATTTTTCCCCTTTTACTGTTTTCTTTAATTACCAAAGAAGTCACTGTGAAATATAGAAATAAAAAATAATTTTAAATCTTTGGTCATTTATCTTGTTCATGAAATATTTACAGATGACGAGCGAATTAGTTGCCGTTGTTAACTATGAATATCATGTTATATACAAGAAATAATATACCTAAAGTATTTATTAATTTGTATAGTATCAGTTTGAGGGCATTGATTAAAAATTTTCTTGTAATTTTTTGTATGTATACATTTTATACCCAAAAAAATGGAAATATAAAGATGTTAGGTGAGTTTGTCTGTTGGGGAATCTTTCTTGGAAAACGGAAGATTTCATCGAGGTTTATGTTTGTGCATTGTCATGGTTTAAAAGGAGATAACACATTAGTTCCATCTATCGAATTCAGTTAAATACATCGTTTTAATCCAACAAATATTGTTCTTATTTTTTTTTTTGGGTGATCAGAGAGTATGTTATAATAGAAACTTGTTATATTACATTTCGGTTTCAGCTTGAGGCTTGATGCATTGATAGTAAACAATCATTTACATATTGTTCATGATGAAAGAGTGACAGACATAAAATTGGTTTATAATAAACTAATATTGTTTTGATCACGTTGTGTACGCAATCAAAAATTATGTGGAATGTTATATCCAGCCAAGATTTTTACTTCGTGATGCCAAGAAAAACGTTGTCACGACAATTTTGCCCCTGAAACAACTAACTGAAAAAAAAAAAAAAAAAAAAAGAGGAATTGGAGTAATCGAGATCCGGCCGACATTAATCTGTTTTTTTTAAAAAAAATTATTTATGTTATAAAATTAATGCTAGACTACTAAAATGAAACTAAGCATAAATACAAAAAGAAAAGACAAGAGCGTAGAGAGAGATAAAAGACTTGTATTTAGATGTGTTTTGAAGTATGAATGAGCTTCCTATTTATACAAAAAGTAAAGGATCAAACTATGTGAAATGAATCACCCATCATTAATGCTAAATATTACAGAATCATATCTCCGTGATTGCGAATAGAATAATACATATTAATGTGGACATTCAATCAAATCATATTTGTCCATAACACTCCCCCTTTGAATGTTCATCGTTGCGGAACAATGCCTCGTTAAAACCTTACCAAAAAAAACCCTTTGTGATAAAACCCTAGTGAAGGAAAAAGAGTACATTTCTAAATGTGACGCTGCTCGTTAAAAACCTTGTCAGAAAAACCCATTGGAACAAAACCTCGACCAAGGAAAAAAGAGTACAACGTGGGTTACTCCCACTGTTAAGTACGCCACCTGTAATCTTCTCACCACATGTCAATATGTTGACTAGTTTCACCATTATTGAAGTCAATAATGGACGGATCACTTTGATTTCTCTGCAGACGATTATCTTCATATATTGGTATAATCTTGAGTGCTTTATAATAACAGAGCTCTATAACAAGCATACAAAGAAGGCATTTATATGTACAATCCTCTAATGCTTTAGATAATAAACCGATACTTTATAAGTATTATAATATGATACTTCATGACCAAATCGATTTACATTTTATTATAAGGCTATAAAAAGGATTTATGTACACCAGACTATAGTCTAGTGCGTTCAACGGGTGTTAAATGTATATAAGCTTAGGCCAAGCTACTATGACCGAGATTCTACCCAAAGTCTTTCATTTCTTGCTTCATGCAAGTAACAAACTTTTGAACTTCCTTAGAAGCATTCATAACTATGATATAACTCTTCAGGAGTTTTATTTATATTCAGGCTATTTGAACTTCGTGATAAGTTTTGATAACATTTTGTCTTTTGAAACTTTACAAGAGTCCGGTACTAACAAAATTGTAATGCACATATGGCTTATGAATACTCACTCTAATATTAGTTATCATGCTATCATTCAAATATGATCATAAAAACATATAGAAAATTATGTTACAAACAAGCATAACATATCTAGATAAAAACAAACATAGCATATCTATTACATTAAAAAATAAGAACCTAAATATCTAGACACATGAAGACATTATAACTTGTGCAAGTCCTTTGAATTAATTTCTCGAGAATTGGGATCATGTCCCTTTATTTTTAATCCTTCGGGGATTTCATATAGACGTCATTATTAAATATCACGTATTAAGTGATCACTATAATCAAGAGATGCATTTCTTATCTTCATTTACTACCAGATTATCGAATAACAGAAGGTTTTCCTTTTCATCCACCACAAGATAAACCGGACTTTGGAAAAATCTTGTGCAACAAAGAGATTGCTCGATAATCTTTTGTACAATCACCCGCCAAAATCTAGCCCGTATATCACTTGCCAAACTTCTAGTTCACAAGCAATTTCAATTCTAAGTACACATCATCAAGTGTGTATTACGTCTTTTCATTTATTGTGGCCAATAAGTTTAATGTCTGCATCTACAACAGACTTCATTTCATGATCCTCATTTTCATTTATTTTACTGCTGCAGTATAAGCAATTTTCATGTCGACATTTTATTGCTGATTGATTCTATGTTCTCGGTAATGAGATCTCACAATCATTAAGTTTCCTAAGTATTCATATACTTCTTCTGGAATTTTTTTTTTTTTCAAAAAAATTAGATGGCCCCAGTGAGAATTGAACCCTCGACCTCCTGGCAATAACCATCTCTCATCCTAAACCCCTAACCACCCCACCCAACCCTCTCACTCCCATTTCTTCTAGAAGTTAATTCACCGTAATGGGAAACTATTCCAGTTCAAAATTCTTATGAATTATAATCACTCGTATTTGCCATCTCTATAGATTTAAACCTTGTCATTTACGAGGATTTTTATCATTGGAACCGATCGTTCTACCACTCATCAAATGGACATTCAATAATTGTGGTAAATGGTCCGACAGGAACATTATTCAAGATTTGGAACTTGACAGCCTTTCGCATGTAACTCAGTCACATGTTTTGGTCAGTTAAACATTTGGTTTTAAAAATTATCTCTTGAACTTCAGGTTCATGTTATCGAGGATCATCATGAGATAATTACATTGTCCATCCGATTTATAAATAGGTTGTTTCAACTTCTCTCACTGATGTTGGGATAACTAACTCGCTAAAATGAATTAACCAATCGAGTAATTAATAATCTCCCTTTTGAGAGTAACTAATTCGTCAAACTAATACGATCAGTCTATCGAGTAGTTAATCCAACATCAATAATCTCAAACATTAGAGATTCAATATTCAACATATATTTCTGACCTCTTCTGGAGGTTCCATAATTGTGTGCATTGTGGTGGAATTATTATAATATATATTGCAGATGTAATCTTTGAAGATGGATATGTATAGTTTCTGACCGAAAACCACTGCTGGGGAGAATATCTACAATGACCGATTTGGTCTTATGCATATAATTGGTGCCTTTTGTGTTTCAACACTTCCTTAACTCTACATGACGTAATTACTTTAATTGCACACATACAATAAACGATTCTACTAGACCGCTTCATTCTTGCTCTTATAGGCATTCAATGTTCAACATTTATCATTTTGATATTGAGTCACATACTCACTCCTTAACTATACATGAGGTAATTATTTTAATTGCACACATACAATAAATGATTCTACTAGACCGCTTCATTCTTGCTCTTATAGGCACTCAATGTTCAACTTTTATCATTCTGATATTGAGTCATATACTCACCATAATTGTCAAATCAAAATTCTCGTAAGAGTAGAACATGAAATCTGCAAGTTACCAATTTAACTCCATAATAAAATATCTGCAAATTTCAGGTTGTAAATTAACGAGAATCATACATGTGGCTATCTCATCGACATATCGATTGATATTCTAATTTGTTGTAAGAAACTCTTGGTTCTCCAAATTTAGTGCATATAAACTTTCTTGTTTCGTCTTAAAACCAGAATGACTTAAGTAGTTATGCCAAATTATAGAATTTCTCTTCTAGAGAAAAAATAGTGAATTAATTATTCAAATATACCAGAACAGTTTCGCTCCACATGAGCGCTTACTCTAACAGAGTATTTGTTATTCAATTATTTTCATTCTACCATAGTGTTCTTGCTCTTTTGAGATAAAGTATCGTTGTTCTGCGGGAGACAACAATGAATTTTCAAATTCAAAATAGTTGTGTTAGTAGAGCAATTTATATCCTTCTTTGATACCTTGGAGAATATAATGTATCTCAATGTACTTTCTCCTTCTAGCATTCTCTTGCTCTTTTAGGAGAAAAGTTTGTTTACTATTATTTTTCCAAAGGCAGTGATGAATTTATTATATTTGCTCTTCAAAAACATTTATTTGTCTTCACTCTCCGGAGTAATTATACTTTACAGAAGTTTTCATCTATCTTTGCAGAATAATTCAATGGTATATGCTCTATTGGAGCTTTTAATTGATTTCGTGTTTATCATTGACTAACATCCCCTTCAGGGCGATTAATAAAATTCACAATACTCATAGAGGTAATATGAGTTGCACTATGTGCAAGACATACTTTCGTCATTAACAAATTTAGATCTTATTTTCTTCGAAGCATGTAGATAGAAATGTCAATTAAAGAGTATCATTACTATGGTGGCCAAAAGACCACA